GATACTTCCCCAAATAAACCTAGGTTACTAATATCATTTATATATATTAAAAATAGCAAAGGCCCTAAAATGGATCCCTGCGGAATTCCATAAGTTATAAGTTTTGGTGTACTTTTAGTATTTTCAATCTTAACTATTTGTTGTCTATTTGTAAGGTATGATGTAAGTAATTTTAAAGCTGATCCATAAATACCAATACTGCTTAATTTATTTATCAAAATAGTATGAGACACGGTATCGAAAGCTTTTTTTAAGTCTATAAATATACCTAAAACTAATTTCTTTTGATCAATATTATTTTTTATTTTAGTAACTAAATCGATTGTTGCAGATAATGTATTACAGTTTTTCCGAAAACCATATTGCTGTTGGAAAAAAAAATCAATGTCATTAAGATAATTATTCAGTATTTCCAGTTGGTAATCGTTAAACTTTAAGTATTTTCTGCCGTAACGCTTTTTATTCAAGTTATTCCAGAAAAATACACTTTGTTACCGAGTTCACTGTAAGGAGTATATGTTACAAATATATATTAATGTCATTTAAATACAAATACACCCACATTCAAAACTTTTCATCAACCTTATAAGATTAAACCTTTCAGGAAAATTTAAAATAAAGTTCAAGGAATCGGTAAGAGAAGGAATGAGGGCATTTTCAACTTAACAAAGATAGGATCGCGATATCACCAGCACCCAGAGTTGAAGAACTAATTTCATAAAATAATCTGAAGTTATAATGAATATAGACAAAATTGAGAACCAAAATTGCCTCTTTGGTTGCTACAAAATCAATTCATTACTTATTTCTCCTATAAAATATAATTTCTCATATAACTATTTATATATTGATCAGGGAGGTATTGATTCGGTCGTCAGCTTCTACGGGATGTGATTACATCTCCTATTAAGTACCTTACCTTAATTAATAAGATTTCACAAAGATTACATCAAGGATTTTGTTGCTCTCGAACAATTAATAACAGTCCAGTCTAGTGTTAGTTTACGAATCATTTTTATTAAATATAAAGTTGGATATGACTAAAATGCTATGTGATCCTTTCAAAATATTTAAGCAATCTTCATACACTTTAAGACTCGCCTTGTTGAAGCCTTTACATTTTTTTTATTAAATTATTAAAAATGTTACCCTGAAGAAATAATCTTTATATTTCAATAAAACATCATGTTATCAATAGCTTGGCAATATCTTAAAAACTTAATATTGATCATGATTTAGAGGAATGTTCTTGTGAAATTTAATTTCAGGAAAGAGAGAAACTTGGACGGTGGAGGTAAGCGTTTACGTTCGCTAAATAGGAGTCCCTTAAACCTACAGCTGGGTCGCAAGTCCCAGGCACTGTTGAAGCTCCTCTCACTACAACGCGATGGACCTGGCACCTGCACGATGAATCCATGGAATGCTGAGAAGTCTTTGAATTGAATTTCATTCAAGTTATTATTAAACCATATCATTTACTATATTTAGGTGTACTATAATATGTAATAAGCTTATTAGAATTATGTGAGATACATACGTTTTACAATGACCTGTTTTTTGTAAGTACTTATAGAGATTGCTAATAGAAAACAAAATTGTCAATATACATATATCATAAAAAATACTTTTTGTTACTTATTTTTATTTAAATGGTATAAATCCCCAAAGTCATCATGTTTTATTGCCTTCAATATATTTTTTACGTCTAATGTCATAAAACTCACTGCCTTTTACACAACTCTGAATAAATCACCTCAATTAGTGAAGGTTAAGCTCTCGGATATCAAATTTTGTTAATAGCAGTTACAAACTGAAATGTTTCCCAGGAAAAACCTTTTACAAGAGATATCTACATATTTCTTGTTCAAGAAATCTATGAATATGAATAAACAACAATAAAATTCATTGAACATACAAAATAAACATAGGAGCAATCTATGTTACTACAATTAAAACTGAAAAGATTACATACATATCATGTTCTTTTACATATTTTTCAAATTGTATTTATTAGGGTAACTTTTGTAATATTTCTCAATTCACTTACATATAATGAAGACAATAATTGTTGTGTTTCTCGTATCTGGTAACAATTCTAGAGTTGATTCCTTTTCTTGATTGTCGCGAAAAAGTTATAATTAATATTATCTTATTATTACTTCACCATAAGCACTATAACTTGATAACTTTTCACTTTTTTTATATATAATAATATGCGTTTAAGGCGATTTATTCCCTTATTGTTATTTAGAGCTAGTAAACATAGTGTTCGCTGCTTGACGAAAATTATCTACAAGTAGCATTGTTGTACAGACAAAACATTGTATAAAGAGTAACATTCTTAACATTTTGTGATGAGAACCAAAGTATTTAAAATAAATTACATATAAAAATATACATTGCCTTGCTTCAACTAAATAAAGTTTTATAAGAACCTCACTTCAGACTTTTTATCACTTATATAAACATATCAATGTAATAACGGGGCCCTGTGGCGCAACGGATAACGCGTCTGACTACGGATCAGAAGATTCCAGGTTCGAATCCTGGCAGGGTCGTTCTTTTATTTTGCTATTGGGCTTTACCAGCTACATCGGAGATTTATTAATATGCAGAATAAAGTGTACCCAAATTATTTTTTATAAAATTTTCAAATAATAGTTATTCTTGAAAAGATGTATTTGTATTTTTGTTATGCCCCATAAAAATTGTATAAATTTTCATGGTAACTTTTGCTTATCATAGGGCTTTGGTGCAGCAATCTTGAAGATGGAATTAGTGTCGTTATCGTATTACGTCTCTTAACGACCATTAGCACTTTAGACGCTTTGAATTATAGGTTAATTTAATTAAAATATATAAATATATTTTAAAATGTTAAATTACCATATACATATATAATATGAGAATATATAGGATAAGAGAGCTAATTACTAAAATCAATATCTAAGAATAAGCTATTAAAAAATAAAAAGTAGGTATTTTATAGGAATCATTAAGATTTTTGCATCCATACAAATAAAATATATATATTTTATCTTATGCACATATTATAAATACAGAATATGAGGACTAACAAGGCCTACAACGTCTCATTTCATAATTATTTACTATTTTACTACAATTGCTTAATTTAATCTTACAGTTTTCAACAAAAGTACTCACAACAGCATCTTGTAACAGACTCATGAATTGCAAAACCAGAAACATTTCCAAAAAAACCTCTCCGACCCAATTGTTAAGCTTTAAATTATAACAATAGTAAAAACTTTAATTTATGATACAGACTTCGAAATTCATAAATGTGGAGATTTTTAAGGCAATTTTTTTATAAAAACTACGCAATCTTTAAATATAGTTTTTTATTCTTTGTGTGTAGAACACAAAAGCTTCTAGTCTAGTAATATATAACTTTCCTTCCAAACGAACTTAAAAATATTATTTATGTTAAAAAAATACATTTGTTTTTTCTACCAAATAAAAAATTATTTTTACATATACGTATGTGATTACTTCTACTCGAAACAAATGTTTTAATTAATCAAGTGGATAAATTAAAATTTTGCAAATGAATAAATTTATAAAAACTAAAAAGGCCATATGTGTACAAATATGTAAAAATCCAAGTTAAAGTGTCTATGGTAAATAGGTTCGTTCTTACAGAACTTATTCTGTAATGACAAAATTTAAAGGCAAATTTATTTACTTTACCATTTTTATTTTGGCCAAAGACGGAACGCTACAGAAGTATGAAGTATATTCTTCAATAGAGTACAGTAAAGAAACAATTTTTACCGTCAGGGGAGATTTCAATATAGTTATAACATTTAATATCGGATTGTATGACAAACAGCTTTCTGATTGACGACGGATGTTAGTACATGTTGAACGGAGATCACTGGAAGGCTTAATTCAGCTGAGCAAACCATTTCCGACCTTATTGAATGATAGGATTGGTGTGGAAATTGAAGATAAGTTCCACATGAATTAAGTCTGAATAATTTTGTCAATAAAGTGGTAATATGCTTGCCTCTGGGAGATTATAACAAGACAAGCATTTCTTTAACTCGCTGGAGACAAAAAGATCGCGAATGTTTGTAAGGAAGAGATAATATTCGCCAAAAAGGAAAACTGGCTTTTGAATTCGATCAAATAGAACTCTCAATAAAATAACGTTTTATATAAAGTGGACAATTCAAGAACCACAACATTTTGAGATTAAACGAATTGTATATAAATGAACATAAATATTTTTTATAATTTTAATATTTAATATTAATTACATAAAAGTGTAAAGAATTAAAATTCAGCATAATACTGAACAAGATTATGGTACTTTGGTACCCTTACTTTCTTTTAAGATATTGTTAAAAAAATAATATTTGTAACATAATACATTTGTACGTTTACTTAATTTAATAATATATGACATAACCATTATTTTATAAAGTAAATTATTTGATTTAAATATATAAAGCTAATAACTTTAAAAATTCATTAATGTATTTTTATAAACAATTTTTTTACAGTACAAATTTGTTATTTTGAAAGTCTCTGCAGAGTTCAGTAGGAATTTCGGAATATTTAACGACTCTTAAGAAGTCCGTGAAAAATTATTTCCTATCAACTAATTAAGAAGACTTATCGTGAATCTTTGAGACACTAATTAAAATTCGATTCCCAGTATTCAATAACAGTATTTCCAAGAAAAAACTTCACTTGGAAATAAGACCTTTTATTCACCTATTTCATATACTTACTTTAGTTTTGTTTTTTTTTTCTACATTTGGGTGTAAAACACTATATAGAATAACAATAAAAATGTATGGCAAAAAGTATTTAGACTTAAAACGAATATTTTGTATATCCTGGAATAAACAAGGGCTATTTCAAGATTGACAAATAAATCGCTCCACTAAGCTTATAAGATAAACAGCTTGGAAAAAGTCAGCTCAGCCCTAAAGTGAAGAACGGAGTTTCTGCGAAGCGTCGTGTGCGCCTTGTTCCCCAGGGAGGTTGCACACACGATGCCAGCAAACAACTCACGTGAGCTGGACCGGTCGGAGGCCATACCGACCGTCACTCTGGAGGAGCTTGAGGGATTCCTGTCACCACTCAGAGCCAAGAAAACCGCCCCTGGGCCGGACGGCGTTCCAGGACGCGTCCTGGCTCTCGCCCTGGGCGAGTTGGCCGAGTGGTACTTGGGTATCCTCAATGAGTGTTTGAGGACGGGCCGCTTTCCATCTTCTTGGAAAGAGGGGAGGCTCGTTCTGCTCCAGAAGGGAGGAAGACCTGCAGACTCGCCGTCTGCATATCGTCCCATCGTCCTGCTAGACGATGCGGGGAAGCTCTTCGAGCGGATCCTCGCGTCCCGTGTCGTCCGACACATCAGCAGGGATGGACCCGATTTGGCCGAGTGCCAGTATGGTTTTCGGGGTGGGCGGTCTACTATAGACGCCATCCTGAAATTGAGGAGTCTCGCAGATGACGCCGTGTCTAGGGGCGGAGTTGCGTTGGCGGTGTCCCTCGACATCGCCAATGCGTTCAACTCGCTACCCTTTGGCGTCATCGAAGAGGCCCTCCGACACCATAGACTGCCGCACTACATCCGGCGGGTAATCGGGTGCTACCTCCGCGGACGGGAGATCTCGTTCGTGGGGAGCGACGGTAGGTTGCATCGTCACGAGGTGCGCTGCGGTGTTCCGCAGGGGTCGGTCCTTGGGCCTCTCCTGTGGAACCTTGGGTACGATTTCGTGCTCCGCGGTGCCCTCCCAACCGGGCTGAGCGTCGTCTGCTATGCGGACGACACGCTCGTTGTAGCTCGAGGCGATGACCTAGCAGAGGCGAAGGCGCGTGCCGAGGCGGGAGCCGCCTTAGTAGTACGGCGCATCGAGATGCTCGGGCTGAGGGTGGGTCTCGACAAAACCGAGGCCCTCCTGTTCCACCGCCCTCGAGCAGGACCTCCGACGGGCGCCTGCATCACCATCCGCGGCGTCCGCGTCGAGCTCAGTCCCCGGATGAAATATCTGGGGCTGACTCTGGACGGAAGGTGGAACTTCCGGGAGCACTTTCGCGGGTTAGTCCCGAAACTCCTCGGGACGGCGAATGCTCTCGGGAGGCTTCTCCCCAATCTCGGCGGTCCGAGTGTGGCATGCCGGCGTTTATACACCGGTGTGTTACGCTCAATGGCGCTGTACGGAGCTCCAGTGTGGGTCGGTGCCCTCACAAGGCCGAACGTGGCTGCGCTGCACAGAGTGCAGCGCGTCATGGCGGTGAGGGTGGTACGAGCATACCGCACTGTCTCTCATGAGGCGGCTTGCGTGCTGGCTGGGACGCCTCCCTGGGAACTGGATGCCCAGGTTCTGGCGGAGGTTTACCACCAGCGCGCGCGAGATCGATCCCGGGGAACGAGTCCGGACCGGGATCGGGTGGATAGTTGGCGACGATCTGCGCGGTCGTCCTTGTTCCATCAGTGGAGGCAAAGGCTCTCTGAGCCAGTGGCCGGGTTGCGAACCGTGGAGGCTATTCGCCCGCTCCTCATGGAGTGGGTGGACCGCCGACACGGATCCTTGACCTTCCGGCTGGTGCAGATCCTCTCGGGGCACGGTTGCTTCGGGAGGTATTTGTGCCACATAGTCGGGAGAGAGCCGACAGCGACGTGTCACCACTGCAGTCGCGTGGAAGACACCGCTGACCACACCTTGATGGAATGTCCAGCGTGGATATCTGAGCGTAGCCAACTCATCCACGTGGTTGGCGCAGACCTTTCGTTGCCGGCAGTGGTCCAGGCCATGGTCGGCAGCGAGAGGGCATGGCAGGCGGTGGCCGACTTCAGCGAGAGAGTCATCTTGCAGAAGGAGGCTGCTGAACGAGTGAGGGAAGACGACCCCTCCTCGGCGCCGCTGCGCCGACGAAGGCTGGGTCGAAGGCAGCGGGCTTATGCTCGCGACCTGCCTCCCCAGTGAGGAAGCCTCCGGGCGTCGGTGGGGAACCGGCGTCCGGGTAACATAGGCTAGAGGAAGAGCGGCGTGTTTGGCGTTCCCGGCACGCTGCTCTTGAGTCGGAGGGGTGGTGTGGTCAGCCACTGATACCCCTGCCGATGGCGGAGTCCCTTTCGGGACTCGTGCGTAGTGAGCGGAAGTATGGCTTGCCGTTCCCGCTCACTAGTCTACGCACAGCGCAGAGAACGTCGAGGTGGTTTAGTGGGTGGAAATCCCACATGCCCCTGTCGCGTTTCCCCCGCGGCAGGAAGTCTTTAAAAGATTCCCCTCGTAGAAAAAAAAAAAAAAAAAAAAAGCCCTAAAGTGAAGAAGCGATAAGGAAAAGTTTCACGAATATTAGGTTATCTAAAGATGTTGCTTCCATAATTTATATATTAAGTAGCAAAAATCCCATGTATTGTAGCATATCTTAATACTTGCTTCATAATGTATTGGTGTACATTCTATGAGAAAGACTTATAAACTAGGTATAGAGTTTTTAGTTAACTTTCATTCAAATATGATAAAATAAGATACGAAAAAAATGAATTTACTAAAAATTTGAAAATTATTTCAATTACAAATCCTTTATATTACAGCAGTTGAAGGTTAAACAATAAAACATAATTTATTACCTTAAAATAAAATTATATGAAAATTTAAGTTATTAACAGAATAATTTAACTCAATACAAGCGTGGGACGTTTTTCATCTAATACATTTTCATAACTCTCCTGTCATAAATAGTTTCCGGTAAAATGATACTAACATTCAATAAATCAAGCAACCCACATGGCCTAATTTAAATTGTTCTGTTCATTACTTAATTTTTAGTATAATTTTGTTTTATAACTACATATTTTTTACTTAAATAATTTGCATATTTCCTGTCGAATGAATTTAGGTAAAACACAACGTTAGTTACGATACACATGTACACATAAGGAAATGCAAATAAAAAAGTCTTCTTAAGACTATCAACGATTCCCTAATGCTATAAAATAAAAATATTAAAATAATATTTTTAAAATACCTTGGTTGGTATGTACGTGTATGTGTTATTTATTTATTAACAAAATACAAATGTGGTAAAAAGAACATTTAACGATTTAAAAATAACGACAACAAAATTACGACTAGGACTAATTCGACGCAATAAATTACATAACTGAGGATTAAAATAAAAATAGAGAAACGACCCTGCCAGGATTCGAACCTGGAATCTTCTGATCCGTAGTCAGACGCGTTATCCGTTGCGCCACAGGGCCATAGTACACTTGTAGGTATTACCATTATGTTTGCTGGTATAGAGTTCCATTATTTTAAATAAATATAAATAAAATAAGATATCTGCAGCCCAGTCTTTAAATAAAAAAAAACGAAATGATATTTTTTGGAACAACGAAGTTTAAAATTTAAAAACCGCATTTCAAAATTTTTACGCTGACAAATTTAGAAAAAAATAAAAACAATTTTAGAAAGCAACAACTATAAATTTTTACAAATTGATTTTAAAATCAATTAAATTCAGATAATAGTACTAAAAATAACAAAGGAATCTGTCGGTACTCTGACCAAATCACTTGGCAAAGAACCAAAAATCTTGGCGCTCACGCAAACGTCAAGCTGAGTTATAAGGCCTCGGCCTCGAATTTTGCGGGCAGCGGAGCGGCGGCGGCGCCGGCACGGAAACGCATACATTTCTCCGAAATAGCGGGCAGCGGGCACCGCTGTATTCGAGGGTCGGTCCATTTGATTATACGCGTAAGATCCTGCCGCTCCCGCTGCCGCTCCGCTGCCCGCAAAATTCGAGGCCGAGGCCTAAAGACAGCGTCATACAAACACCCTGTCTGGCGTCGCGTCGTCTCTTGAACTGACGTCAACAAATCACTAAAAATTATATTCTATGTAACTTTGTACATAAAAATAAATGTTCTATGAAATAATAAAAAAATTAAAACAGTAAATTTTATCAAATCAGATAAACTTTTTGACATCTTGCAACACTGATTGATGGCAATACTGAATCTTCCTTCAAGTGAGCTCTTACAAATCCTGAAAAGTATTAAAGCCAATTATAATAAACTGATAAATTAGTAGTATCGAAATTATTTCTAAATAAAAATAATTTGTTATTAGTTGTTAATTTTAAATTTGTTAAAATAGTTATTGTACAGCAGATGAATAATTAGTAACGAGCTCTTTCAAGGGACCCTACGACGAAACTTTCTTAATTCTCGAAAAACTTCACCACGAATCTTGTAACTTCCTACCGAGTTATAAATTACTCTATTAACTTTTAAACTCTCTGCCGCAAAACTTTGTTACTTTAACTATAGCTGAAATAAATCTAAATAAAATAAAATACATATTTATGTTCATAAGTTATGTTTATCGTGAGTTCCTCGCCTTTATAGCCTCGCCTTCCTTGCCTTAAATTCGAATGTTACTTCATTTTTTATGTTAATAGTATAAATACAGGGTGACTGGTGAATTACTATCAATATTTAAGGAGAATACTCGGTACATGATTCTCATTCGAATTATGTAAGAAAAATAGGCACTTAATTTTTGAAAAAATTTCCGTATAAATAAAGTGTGGACAATACCATATACAACACCACGCCGCCGCACGCGTATGTGTGTGTGTGTGTGTATACCTAATCTGTAGGGTGTTCACACGATGCGTAATTAAATAAACCAAAAGTTATGTAACTTTTGGTTAACTTTACTTAGAAGTTTATTAATATTTATGTTATATTAATTTTTATTTTGTCATATATGATCGTCAAATATCACGTCCTCAAGTATCGATAGTAATTCACCAGTCACCCTGTATAATGCATAATGTCGTATTGAATTAGCTAGTTAACCATACCTTATACTAAAAAAATAATAATATGAATATAATATTTTTCAATACCTCCTACGTAAGTTGATGTATCTCCAAAACTGTAAATTTACAGTAGAGCGCTTCAAAGATTCAAATTAAATCAAAATCTACAAAATTTGAAAATTACAACATTAGGCATGCGTCTGACAAATCCTTTAAAAATAGTGTTTTTGTTGTTTTTTTACTTTGAATGTACATAATGATCCACAATAGGATATTTTTCCGATACCGGGAATCGAACCCGAGCCTCCTGGGTGAGAGCCAGGTATCCTTTTTTTTTATAAGAATATAACTGAGAGCTAATTCTTGAGAAATATCTAAAAT